CATTAAGCCACTAATATGATTTTTTTAAAGGGGATCCTGAGGGTTGAATGAGCATACTCGGCCCTTGTCTGTCACTGCATCTATCACATCTGTCTCTTTATTCATGCCTCTCAAAATTCACGTCCAAGTTCCTGGTTATTTAATTGATTGATGATGTTTATGTATGTGTCGTGGGGTTGTAAGACACTAAAGATACAGTTGCAGTGGTTTAATAAGTCAGTACACAGTCATTTTAAAGTTTTCTGTTCCTTTTACATCTCAGTCTTCAACATCGTATCCTCCCATCCCAGAGGACCACCACTTTGGTGTTAGTTTCAGGTCGTGTTTTTCTCAAACTGAGCAAAGATGCATGCTTCTTCAACAAATGCAGGTTGCAGAAAGCTGTGATAAATTTCAAATTTCTGTGCAATACTAATGATTTACTGATGGCTGCGTGATCCATACACCAACAAGAGAATAAGAGAAGTATTGGCACTCCTTTTTTTCACTTAAAGCTCTGCTGTTGTGTATTTATTCTGTTTTAATCTGAGATTAGCCCTGCAGCCTTTCAATGTGGTGTGCATGATGAGGCAGATCCTCATATTTGTGAAGGTTTAAGGACGGATCCTGTTTGAGAAAGAGATGATAGAAGACACTAAAGGCCTCTTTGCCTCTCTGTACGGCTGCTCTCTGCAGGATCTCCCTTTAAAAAAAGAGCTCTTGTGTTTCATTTCCCTGAATGTCGCGGCCTCCTGCGTTCTCTGACTCTCTCCTGACTCTGCTTCTCTTTCCGTCTTAAACTCAGTCCAACCTCCTCGACGGCTCGCTCTGTAATGAGCTGCCTCTCTTACTCATGATGTCATGTGGGAGTGCTGACAAGAGTCTTGTCTCTGTGTGGGTGGAAACGCAAACAGTAGCTCTTTAAGATGACAACCGATAAAGTCACTACAAAGAAAAAAAAAAATCAGCTTTCACAATCAGGTGACATCAGGTAGCCTGTAGCTGACCCTGCGGTGCAACAACAAAAAAAGCACCGAGAGATAAAATCCCACCGGAAGATGAAGTGATCGAGCTCTTTTGGAAGAGCAAGACGATAAAAAATGAAGGGAATTACCGTGTCTTTTAAAGTATTAGATCATTTTTTTTGCAGGAGTAATTAAAGGATCTATTTCAATGTTTGCGTGTTTGTTGCCTGCCTTAAATGCAGGCCTGAAGCTGAAGCTTTGCAGCTGTTGGGTGGATCTACTCGCCAAAATGACATAATTTGATGTTAGAAGGATGTACCGTATATAATTCCCCGTGCGTTTAATTGCATGGTGTTTGCTGAGTTCAAGTGACAAGAAAAAAAACGATTCCTGTCATATTGGAAGACAAATGTATCGCAGCTTCGTCCTGCCTCTTCACCTCAGGCTTAGACAAGCTAAACGCGCTAAAATGGCTTCCAAGAAAGTGCGTGTGCATGTGTGGGGACATGTTCGCACAGCTCTGCCTGCTGCAGACTTCAGATTCTGGGCTAGAGGTGGTAATGTGTGTGTACGTACATGCTCGTGTGTTTTTAGTAGGGCATAAGGGGAAAGGCAGGGAGCACAAGCAATGAATCACAGGCCCGATGCCAGGTGAGATAATGACACCGGCGAACAGGATTTTGGGTAATGGGGGCGATAGTAGCTATGGAGCAAGTGATGTCATGAAGCTGTTTTGGCTGCTATCTCGAACCGCTGGTTTCATGGAAGGTGGTAGCTTTAGCTCAAAGAGGAGACGAAGGAGGGAGGGGTGAGAAATAAGGGTTCGAAGGGGGCTGGGGGAAGTCGTAGGTGAGGTGCAGGGAGTTTATTCAAGTGTATGCACAAAAGAGGGCCCGTGATGGAGGAGATACAGAGGGGATTACGTGTTATTTTGCTTGTTCTTGGTATGCATTTGTGCACAATGCATATGGCATATCTATATGCAGAGTATGGTGGTACTGTATGGGAAATTTATCATTGCGCTCCCCTCCTCCTTCCTCTCTACTCTGTCCCCTTCGCCCGGCCCCCGTAAAACCATTTTGCAGGCACGTAGCCACTGCAGCCCCCCCCCCTCACCTGCCTCTGCCTGCGAGCACATTGCCCTCACACAGTGCTGGCAAAAGGCCATGTAGGCAATGTGCAGACCACATTTGCCTGCATGGCCGAACAACTGCACCTGACAGACCGTTAAGGCACAATGGCAGTGGAGGATTACAGGCATGGAACCAGCAGATGTGTTGCTTTACATTTTCGAAAGCAAACAGACCTGCAACTGAAAATAGAGATCTTTTTTCTGACCCTTGATTTTTTATCAGCCAGACACATTCAGTACACCTCAAACAGAAACAGGAAGTAATGTGGGGGATATAGGAAGTCCTGACAATGACCTCAGTTCTGTGCAAACTCATCAGAACTAAGATTTTCTAAAAGTCTGGTTTAGGAGAGCTTGTTTTGGCTTTTCTTGACATTTTATAAATCTTCCTGGTCGGCCTGCTGCATTAAGAAATGCCTGTTATTTAAAACCTACAGAGGTTTTAACAGGAGAAAACAACCTGAGTCCGTATATCTAGAAATAAAACTGAGGTTTACAAAGCATGATAAAAATGTAGACAGATTTACAGCGCATGACTAGACATCGGCGAGCTCGATTTAGCTACAGCATTTTATGGTGTAGTTTGGACCTGTGAGTAAGGTCTGCTTGTGGTTTGAGGTGAAATCCAAGGCTGGTCTGTAGGTGGGCCCACTGTGTTAGCCTAGCTGTGACAGCACCTGGGACTGCTTAGCATCTTTGCTCGAGTTGGATGGAGCCGCTGGACAAAGTTCAGCTCTGTGGGAGAGAAATAAAAGCTACAAAGAGAGAAAGGGAAGTTTGAGGTGAATGCTGCTATTCTCAAGCTTATGCATCATTTAACAGAAGCACAACATTACTGATTATCATGCACAGAAGTTGCTACGGCAGTGTGTTTTAGGGACTGTGTCCACTGACTGATTTTTTTGCACTTGCATCAACCTTTTTCCACACAAACTAAAGCAGGTCAGCATTTTTAGCCCCCAGCACATTATTGTCACCGTGCTATCTGCAGAAAATATGTTGTAATATGATGTCACTTCCCCTTCACCAACCAAACAAAATCAAGAAGGGGCGGGACCTCTGAGGTCAACTAGCAATAGCAAAGGTCACAGTCCTCATTGCACTGGTTGCAGGTTTTATTTCTAGTCCAGACTGTCTCCCACATAGTCTATCTCTTTTCTTTTAAACGGTCTTATCTGAGAACAATGGGTCCAAAAAATCTATTAAAAATGCTGTGAGTGGACACAGGCCCTTTACCAAGCATACACTAGCCTGGCTGGGCCATCCTGTTGCGTGAATCACTTGCCGTTCCTTCACACCACAGTCTGGACTTCAGCCCATTGGGAGCGATCAGAAAATAACCGGGCCAGTCAGTTCCACTGTTCCCCGGACAACAGGGAAAGGCAGCCCCTGATTGGTCCATGTGTAGATGGTGACGTCTAACACATGCTTCGGGACTTTTCAAAGCCCCGTTCATTCAGAACGCCGTTAATTCTGCAGTTGACTTTGTAAAGTCGGCAGAAATCGTTTAGATCCGCAGAAGATGTCGGATATAAACGATTTTTGCCAACTTCAGACGTCACCATGGTCCAGACTATTGTGTGAAGGAACGGCAAGTGCTTCACGCAACAGGATGGCCCAGCCACTCTAAGCAAACACTGCTGAAAGTGTCTTGTTAATGCATCTTCTTATCACTGATACAAAAATGTAATCCAGGGTTTCTACACAGTTGGAATTTCCATACTTTTCCATACCCTACTTTTTAGAATTATCTTCGGAAATACCTACTTTTCTCTTTTAGAAAACAGTATTTGAGAACTGTGGTAGTAGTCTGGAAACGTAATTTTTTTCCATACTTTATTTTATATTTTCCAGAATTTTTAAGACCTGGAAATTGATCAAACTTATTTCCATACTTTTTCATACTTTCCATACTTAGTAAGAACCCTGCTAGCTGAAAAATGAGCGGTCACAGATCTAAAAAATGGAAAAGTATATTTACAGATGTCCTTTACATTTTAATAAGATAGTTTATTCGTAAAATGTAAATATATAACACATATTAGTACACTGCTGTACTCAAGTAGGTTTAAACTTCAGCACTTTTGAAATGTTAAAGTGCTTTCATTATGCCAACATCAGAAACAGCCAACATATCCATAGTTTATCAATAGAGAGTGATTGATTGGTTGGGTAAGGGAATGCCTGACTTGTTAGTGTGGCTGCTGATAAGCAATATTTACATCATGTATCATATAGCTTAATAAAAGCATGTTTTTCCCATCCTGACAGCTTTTTGAATCTAAAACAGTTACCAGGCGGAAATTAAAATTAAAGTTCCTGTCAGAGTTTTTTGACATCTATGAAACACACTAAAATACATATTGATGCCTTTTTTGTGAAATTTAAAGACCAGTAGCAACAAGATCGGTGAGTTTTAGACTGTATTTTTAGGAGGGGTAAGTGTCCAAAAGAGCCCTGTTTTTACATTTGTAACATTGAATATTTAGAATAAATGACTTGACATGACCATGTTTAAATGGGTGTTATTGAAAAATCATCTTAATGCGAAACAAAACGAAACATGATATCAGCATTACTTATCATCCATCAGCTGACTTGGCGCATGTCGTTCTCGAGTCTTCAGTGAGGATTAACACTTAGCTTCACTGAGTCCATTCCCCTTCATTCTCCCTCCCATCACACCCCAACAAGTTTGATTGATTGAGTCGTTTTTTTTCTCCATCCCATATCCTACTTTTATCTAAGACTTTCATCCATCATCAGATTTTTCTCTTTGTGTCTCAGCAGGATGCTTTCTATCGCCACAATTTATCCAGTAAGAGGACTGAAGCCTAATCCCAAAATGGTCCTCTCCTTTCTCTCCCACACAGCCTTACTTTTCACATTAAAGCAGTGGTTCCACCTCCATTGCCAGTTGGCTGTTATCCTCGTTCCGGCTCAAGCATCTGCCCCAGCGCAGCAGCAGCATGGCAGCTCGGTCCAAAGGGGTTGCACAGACTGAGGACCTGGGTCAGAAAGAGGGGCTCCTCTCTTGTGACGTAGGTAGCCATTACGGGGGTGGGGGAAACCATCTCTGCTAGTTTGCTGGATGGATGGGGAGATGTTTTACCCTGACCAGGGTTGACCTGACTAGACGACCACAAGCACTTGGCCGGCTCCAGCTCATTTTTGGGCTGCCAGCCCACCTCCATGTTCTGTGCTCCATTTGGGCTTTCTTGATCCGTCCCAAACAAAACCACATAAGTGGAGGGGCTAATGCAGTGAAGTTGCAGAGCAGCTCTACCCAGCCGCAAAGCAGTGAGGTCATAGACTGCATGCCCGAGCCTAAGACTTGGCATGATGCATGGGAACTGTCTTTGACTCTCTCTCAGCACCCGTACCTCCTATTCCCTCTCCATTTTCCTCTCCACCTCCTTCCTCTCCTCCCCTCTATCACCCAGCTCTCTGAGTGTTGAGGATCTGACGTCCTAGCACCTCATCATCCTTCAGCCTCCTGGACTTACGGAGAGCCAGGGAAACATATGGTATCCATATCACAGCTATATACTACTCATCTCTGAATATCCCGAAATCCTAGCCGTGTATATACTCCACCAGCTTTCCCACACGGCACAAATCATTAGTTTCTCTTCGCCTTGGCACAACAAAATGGTTCGATGGAGTGACGTGTTTGCATAGCGGCATAGCTATAGGGTAACGTCTGAGTTCGGTCCATCTCGGCTCCATTACTGGGTCCACTGTGTCGTGGATCTAGATCAGAGAGTTTCAGATCTCATTGTAGAAGTTGAAAACTGCTGATTCTACATTTAAAGGGATATTGCGGCGTAAAATTAAGTTAGGGTCAAACACACCGTAAAACCGAGTTAGACACCCCCTTGAGGGATGAATGTTGCCAACCGCTTGCTTCTCTAGTTATACCAACCTTAGTAACAACCGCAGGATAGCAACACACAGCGGTCTGAGGAGCCATAAACAAACCTCAACCAAAACACCTCTCTATAGCCACAAATAATGCTCAGAACAGCACCTAACTTCATCAACAGGACATATAGGGTCCAAGCCACAGTACTAGCCACCAAACATCTTTTTAACTTTGCCTAATTTCTGTAGCAAAGAGACTGAACACAACTCACCTACTCTCTTCCAGCAGCCGCTTGTTTTGTAGCAAGACCTCGGGCCAGTCTATTACAGACTACAGTGGGGTGCCTCAGCTCAAGGAAGAACATTTATGATCATTTCCCTGAAGTAAAAATTACCATATTACTGTTTTTTTTGCAGCTACTGTAGCCTCACAGAGTTATTGACTGTTTTGTTTGGATTAAAGCGCTTTATAATCCGGTGAGCCTTATGTATGAAAATAGACGCGAATAGACATTCATTGATGGGGTGCCTTATAATCAGGTGCGTCTTATAGTGCGATAAATACGGTGCAGACACGGTAGTTGCAGACGCGGTAGTTCTTCTGCCTTAGTGTCTCTGTCTGATTGCATTTCCATGAAGAAATATCCCTTTTAAGGTGGGAATTCCTGTGTTTCATGACTCCAGCTGTGACTCCCGCTCTGAAAATGCAGCCGGTGGGACGATTCGAACGAAAATGCAGCCGGTCGATTACTGCTAAAGCGCTAACTGGACCGTGCTGTCTTACAGTGCAACAAGTGAAGCTGAGGAGTTTTGAAAAGGAAAGCAGAGAACGTTTGATTCTACATCTGTGCTGCTCTGACATGCAAACGAGACTCTTCCACTTCCACCGCTCAGTTACCGCCTGGGCGAGCTCCAAGGGCAATTTTGTTGTACCTTACTGTGTCGAACGGTAATATCCCCCTGTTGTTCAAACTTCGCTGCACTTTTATTCATGACGAGACATGCACGGCTTGGGAACGTATTGCTTGTCAGTCATATATTACCCTCCTCTAACACCTTCACAGACACAAAGGTGCCAGTATTATTTCTATGATTCTCCCTCTTCCCAGGGTTTAAATCTTTATTTTGCAGTGGAAAAGAGGGGGGAAAAAAAACTCACTTCCTGCATCAGAACGTGTCATGTTTCTGTCTCACACAAACAGCCCCTTGTTTCGCGGTGCAATTTACCTGTCCCATCGCCATGAGGGCTGTTGTTCCCCTTCGCTTCGTCAGGGCACAGCGCACGGTTCACTGAGAGGACAGGCTTATATAGAGTAGATGTTGTCTCGGTGGTACACAACCGCTCCGATAAAGAGACGGCGCTCAAAGTAAAGGGTGTCATGTACAGTCACAGTCGATGAAAATGAATGGCGTGGGTCTTGTTGCATGCGTACGCTATCTTGAGTTTTATGTAGCCTTGAAAGCATTTGAGTGTCAGGTATTTCTCTCATGAAGCAATTGAACCTTCACCTCCATCGAACAAAAAAAAAAAAACGTTACAGCGCTGTCAGATGAATCACCGTTAAGATTCGCTCAGACAAAGCACTCATATGTGCGCAGAGCTCTGCGGGACTCTTCATTTTTGAGTATTTTGCTGCCTTTGCCAGGTCTGGTGCCACAATAAAAGGTTCATGAGCCCCACCCTGCTGCGACTGCCTACTGTGTCGAAGCCCTCGGGCCAAAGGTAATGAAAAGTGTACGAATCTACGCTGCTCAGACTTGTTTGGCCTGTCACTGGAGCTGGAGAGTATCAGAGCAAACGAACTGTCAGCAGCTCTGTATCCGATGGCTCTGCGCACGGTGTGTGTGTTTGCACACTTGCATGTTTTGGCATGCGTGTGTGTGTTAGCTGGGTGAGAGGGCAAAGGTGGTAAGTTAGGGGAAATAAAGAGTGTGTTTTGCCCTTCTTTATAAGTTGGCACCGTATAACTTCTTCATAAGTGTTTTGATTGGTGGCTTGTTAATAGTTTGGATCTGAAAAGGTTTCCAAACTCCATTCATGCCTCTTAATGTAACAATTTCATTGTGCGTCACTTGAAAAGCCTCTTCCTAAAGCCACCATGAATCTGTCATCAGATCGCCGCTTTTCCAATTCTTTCGAGATACTTTATTACCACGCGCCTTCAAAATTAAGAGGAAAATTAAGGGGGGAAAGAGATTGAGATGAAAGAACTTGAACGGGAGAGCCAAAACTTTATGATATTATCCTGCTTGTAAAAGCACAGTGGTGATGATTTCACATTGGTGGAAAGTTGTACATAAATCATAGCGCCCTATGACAAATCTCTCAGAGGCTCCTTTTTGCAGGACCGTGACTTGCAGAATGACCGTGATGCCAGAATGTATTAAAAAACTACTAAGTGAAGTTTGAAGGTCATTTAGAGGAATAAGGGTGGATGTTTTAAAGCCGGTGGAAACCCGAATCCACAATAGCCGTCCAACAATTGAATTTAAGGTCTTGTGAACAGGATAACACGGGTTATCCACAGGGAATTAATTACAGATTAAACCCAAATTTGAGTTATTACATATAATTTAAAGAGTACTCAGTCATGTATTCATATGCCTCATGTTTAATAGTATTTTTTAAGTTTTCTAAGGTGGTGAATCTTGCGATCAGGTCTAGCCTCTGTTCATGGGGGCAACTTCAACCAGCAGTGCTCCTTGTTCAACAGTGTTTACTTGTATGACAGTACGTAGGTTGTACAGCTCTAACGACATCGTTTAGCTTGTTTTGCACGACACCTTATACATTTTATGATCATTTGACGGATTCATAGCTTTGGAACACACACAGCTAATGTCACAGGCAATATTTCATCTGCTTACGATGTTATAGGTGGCAATGCATTGTGCAACTTTCCCTCAAGTGACCCTCAAGTTCATGTAGGTTTATGCTTTTCCTCTTCTTGTCGGTATTTACGGTATCTACTTTTTAATGCATGGTCTCCTACAGCCTTAACTCAGATCTCAGGCTGTGATATAAATGCAGACGTGACCAAACGTACGTGTTATGTCTACATATCAGTGTACCTCCAGTGATCAGTCCACTCAGATACAAGATAATGATGTTTAAGAAGCTTACAGACATACATTGTTTGTATAGATTCCGTGTGGAGAAGCTCTGTTCTTAATCCTCATATATGTAAAAGTCACTTATAGCTATAATGCTGTCTGATTAAAAGCATGTCTGGGGTCAACATGTGGTGATGTGTCGCCTTCGTGAAACCTCTCTTTGTCGTATATGGGGAAAGACTAATAATGCAATCAGCATTTTGGATTGTGTTATAAGGCTCTTTGTAGCTTTGTTTGCTTTTGAATGTGACACACTTTATAGGAACCAAAATAAAGTTTGTTTAGGATATGATTTAATCGTTTTTTCACTGTTTCATTAATCCGATTTTAACCTCATTTCAAGGCAAAGGCTTCTTTTTTTGAACAATAAATCATTTTTTAACACTCTAACCTGACTGATCATTAAACGCATCACAGATGCAAGCGGACCTAAACCCCGGCGGCCTTTTTTGTTGAAGGAAAGCAGTCGCTACACAACTTCTTATGCAGGAACTTAACAGGACTTTGCGCATTAAGTTTATAAGAGAGGAATAAAACCGTTGAAGTTGATCTTTTTTTTAACTTATGAAAAGCTTCAAATCCTTTTGTCAAGCTTAAATAACTCTATATAATATATGATTTGCATGATTTTGCATTAAAATATATAATTGAATTTTACAACATTGGAATTTAGACATGTAACCACAATTTGGAATTTGCAAGTTTAATAATCACCCTTATTGATAATATATAGGGCTTGTTTTGCGAGTACAAAATAACCTGAACTCAGCCAGTTACTGCTATATATCAGTATATGATATGCAGGATACAATAAGTTGAGACAAATTTTAATGAAACAGTATTTCACCCCCGTCATAAATAAGTGGGCCCCCAAGTTAGGAATTCCTAGACACGCCCCTGCCTGTTGTATTTTCAATCTACAGGTGCTTTTCAATGTCAGTGTTTACCTTTGCATTCACAGATCAGTTGCTGCTGTAATGTAAAGTATCCCACACAGAACAAACTCGCTGTAAGTGGATGAAACATATCTCATCACATCTTTTACAGGCTTTGTGTCTCTATGATAACATCTATATCGCATGTTGATTTATATACATTTGGAAGATAATAGCTATACAGGGATAAAGCAGGTGCAATGCTCTGCTACTGTAAACCGACACTTACTGTTGATGAATCAGCGCAGAAACGAACACGAGGCTTACGTTCGCCCATCCCTCCTTCATAAACTCACAAACATTCAGAGAAATGAATCACAGTCATGTTTTTAAAGTCAGAAGTTCAAGGTTCATGTCATGTGACCATACGTTGAACTTTAAATTTCACTTAATCACTCCTCTCACTTGAACATGCAACAAGCTGAACT